GGGGACCCTTCGCCTGGGGTCGAGGCCCCCTGTCGTTCTTACCACCCCAGGGCTTCCGTGGCTACCAAAGCCACTGCCTGGGGGGTGATCTCTACCTGTTTCCCTACCAGCAGGTTGCGGGAGGACCACAGTGCGTCCTTCAGACACGTGAGGGTGGGCCAGAGTTTTGTGAAGGCCTTGGTCGGGGGCACGCGGATGTCCTCGCCATGCCCCGGGAGTGCATAACGACCCTGACCGGGAGGATCTCATGGGGGACCATCCAGGACAGGTCACAATGCCAATTCAGCAGAGCAGGATGGGCCACGTTGTGCCAAACCGTTGTGGGCTCACCTATAGCGAGCCCGCGCACTGGACACACCGGTTCCCGTTCCTGCACAAGAGAGAGAAGAGAGCGGTGCGTAGTTAAAACCGTGACAGGATCCTTTTCCAGTTTAAAATGTCTTAAAAACGTTTTGAGCTTGACATAGTGTGTGGGGAGCAGGAAAGGGACTGGGGCTCGCAGGTCGACTGGGATCAACCTGAGGTAAGACCCCAGCCAGAACTGTGCGAGGGCCTGGGTCTTGTTGTTGACCGGGGAGGTGGCAAGAGTGAGATGTAACGCTGTATAGCGGCTGCCCAGGAACAAGTAGAGGTCAGGCAAGCCTTTTCCCCCCTTGAGCCTGGGCCTCTTTACCACCTCCCTCCTCAGCCTCTCCCACTTGCTTCCCCACAGGAAATAAAAAAGCATCCGGTCCAGAGCTAATAATGTTTTCCTAGGGGGGATAAAAACAGAACTGATTAATAAAAGGACAGGTAAAATCACAGCCTTGATGATTAAAACCTTGCCCTCAAAAGTCAGTCGTCTCAGTCCCCAAAAACCCAGTCTCTGTCTTACAGTCGCTAAAATCCCGGTCCAATTTCCACTACCTCCTCCCTCCCTATCAAATTTAACCCCCAGAACCCTAATGTCCGTCATTCTAACAGTCAGTGGTAGTCTGGTCAAGTCTGAGTCTGCCCACGGTCCGAAAAATTGGGCCTCTGTCTTTCCCCTGTTCAGTCTCGCCCCAGAGGCTCGTCCGTACCAGTCAGTCTTGTCCAGAGTCCTGTCGACGGATAAAAGGTCAGTGCATAAAATGTTTACATCGTCCATATAAAAAACGCACTTGGCGGTCATCCCCCCACTCCCCGGGATACCCACCCCACTGATCCGTTGGTCCCTTCTCAAGACCTGTGCCAGTGGTTCTATGCAGGCCACAAACAGGAGGGGAGATAATGGACATCCCTGACGGACGCCGCAGTGTACTCCCACTGCTCTTGACAAATGCCCATTTACAAGGATTCTGCTGGTAATGTCCCTATACAGCAATCCCACCCAAGCTAGAAACCTTTCAGGGAATCCCATTTTTTGCAGTACCTTGAAGAGGTACTGGTGCGAGACCCGATCAAAAGCTTTCTCAAAATCTAAATTTAGGACTATAAGCCGCATGTTTCTGTCTCTCGCATAACAGATGGCATCTCTGATCAGTACTAGGCTGTCCGTGATCTTCCTTCCCGGGATGGCGCAGGCTTGATCCGGGTGGATCACCTCCCCTAAAACAGAAGACATTCTGAGTGTTAAAACCTTGGTAAAAAGTTTACAATCAAAGTTTAAAAGGGTAATCGGTCGCCAGTTCCTAAGGTCAGTCCTGTCATTTTTCTTGTGTAAAAGGGTCACGATTCCGGTTCTAAAACTGTCAGGTAGTCTGTCGAGATGTTCAAAGTCAGTAAAAACAGTCAGAAGTTTGTCGGCTAAAACATCCCAAAAGGTCAAATAAAACTCCAAAGGGAGGCCGTCCTCCCCCGGTGATTTTCCCCTCTTAAAATGTCTCAGTCCTTTGTCCAGTTCGGTCATCGTCAGGTCTTTTATTAGGTCGTTTGTATTGGGTATGGTCCTGTCAATGTATGTTAAAACCTCCTCCATCGTTTCCTCACACACATCTTAAACCGTTTAACTCAATTGTAAACCCCC